TATATATATATATATATATGTGTGTGTGTATATATACATTTACAATCTTTACCCCAAGAAATACAACAGTGCTGATGTCAGCTGGTAGAACTCATTGTATGCTGGTTTTAGATTTTGTCTTCCATAGTGTTTGTTTTGTTCAGCTGCCTCGGTGAAATTAATACAAACAGTTAATATCATCAATTTTTCAGACTCGGAGTCTTTTGTGCCATTCTGATCTCCTAAAAATTTCAGCGCGCAGTCCGTGACTCTTTTGGTTGGGTACTGTTTCGGCATTTTCCTGATATTGATAGGAGAAACCTCGGAAAACTACTGATCAGATCAGCTAGAATTCTCCTCCAGGCAGCGACAGAACTCCAGCTAGCTATCTCGCTAGTGTAGAAAATGCTGTTACTATCGGGACTCGAACCCCAGGACCTCCCGGTCAGAGGCACTGCAATGACATCAGTTCATGCGTTGAGGCATGTCTCTGATAAAACATTGACACGGAATCCCATCTGTAATTCGAGTTTGATTCACCCTCTTCGCATTATTAAGCTTTCTCTGTGGCAAAGTCGTTGTCCGTCGCAGCTGATTGGCTATGATGCTGCTGACGTTCCTGTTGTTTGACTTCACAGTTTGAACTTGAACGGGACTTTCGTTGAAATGGGGAGGTAGGGTAACGTGGCTGAAGAATGTGGTGTAAATGACCGGAAAGGGTTTCCTGTGTATTGCTTGGGCTGTATTGCTTGGCTCCAGTTTACGTTTTAGAAACAAACAACGGAATTAATTCACTCATTTTCACGCTGTGGTGAGTAATTAAGCAAAGTGAAGAATTAGGTTCATTTGTACATTTGCATTGTGTTCTCATTGCACTTGGAAGATGTGTAATTTGAGGCATTTCGTAAGAGATAAAAATGGACGTGATTGTCATGTGAATTTAGCTGTATGATGAGACAAGCGAGTATTCATAGTCTTCTTTATTTTATTCCTTTATATTCAGTGTGTACCCTGAGTTTACGTTTTGTTTAAAATTGAACTAAGGAGTAATTGAACAAAGTACTAAGGAGATGTTGAATGTAATTTTCACTACGCTTTTTATCCTAGATCAGTGTTTTTATGAATTTCAAAATGTGTTTAGAAAGGTTGAATTGTGAAAGCATTATATGCAGTTAGTTCCCCCAAAATATTGATGTATTATTTCCTATCTCACTGGAATAAAAGGCTGGAAATAATTCCAGAAAAGTTCAACATTTGGTTCACCCTGAAGATATGGCACTGAGTGGATGACTGATTTGCGGTGTTCAGGCTTTGGAACTGTTATGGATAATGAGGGAACTTTGTCCCTGAGGCAGCTGGTGGAAGCTGTAACAGCAGAGGCGATATGGAGGCAGGAGGAGCGCCTGAGAGCACTGGAAGCTCGTGTGGACTCCTTGGAAGAAGCAATTCATCGAGCACTGGAGACAGTATTTCCACGTGTGGATGCTCTTGTTTCCCAACTAGAAAAGCAAGGTTCCTGCCCTACTAGAGGTTAGTGGAATGCTACCTATCCTATGGCTAATGATTCTTTTAAAAATAATTGTATCTGTGTATTAAATTTAATTTTCTGACTTACATCATTAAGTTTGAGTTAAAGAAACCTAACATTGCTCAGGTATTTATTTGTCACAATCATGTAATTAGATAGCTGACATACATGGCATTACCTGGGTTTTGTATAAAGATCTAGCTCTATCTTAAAAAATCTATTTTTACCATGTAGCACCAGGTAAGCAAAAGCTTATTGTATAATCATTGTTTGCGAGGCAAGTGAATTTGACTGCAAGAATAGAACTCCCAAGCAATGCTTCTGAACAATATTCTGAAACTGTCCTTCAATCAGTACTACTTAATTTTATTTATGGGTAATTACTTAGTAGGTTTGCTAACAGGGCATTGCCCTCATTTCTTACTTCATATGTATCTGCAGTATGAGGCTATTAAATCATTCTTATCCCTTATTAGTCTCCATTCAGGAATCTACTGATGCTGTGAGATAAGAGAACAAAAGTGAAGAATGATTGGCTTACTTGCTCTATTGTTTGAATGGCATCGTTGAACTTTTTTATTTAATTTTGTGTGTTTGTGCAAAGTTAAAGCGACAGGTTTAAAATTTCTTCAAAAGCACAGCATTGTGCACGAAGAAAGAAAGTGTTAGAATGACCATGCAATGAATATTAGTGTGTGAAAAATTTGTAGAGATGTTAGATTTGAAAGAACAAAGAATTGTTTATTTTAGAAGCAATTGCTCTATTTATACTTTCTCAGCTACTTCATTGTGAGGAAATTTCGGCATTAAGATCTGTGTATTTGCTTTCTTTCACTACAAATGATTCAGTAACAAAATATTTTGACTTAAAATGTGTTGGAAATTGAAACATTGCACAAACTCAAGAAATTTCTGAACTCTGGTTTTAGTTTATTGGAAATAAACTAAATCTTGTCCACTTTCTCATTCAACTTTTATTGTTGTTTATCCATTCTGTGGTTAATTGATCCAAGATAGGATCTTCTAGATTTTAGTGGTAATGTAAAGGTTTTGTGATTCACCCATTCGAGAAGGGATAATTTTGTGTCAGAAAATATTGTGCATCATGTAATACTGAGTTCACAAAATGAATAATTGGGTGTGGGCAATTGTAATTTTGGAGCCATTGATATTTTGAATTTATGTTTTGGTTGCAGGTTGTTCATCCAACTCTGATTCTGTCCTGTCGGAACAGTTGGCCCAAGTGTCCATATCTTCTGTACGCACAGAAGACAATACTGGGTCTGTGCCCATTCAGTCGACAGCCTCCATTGCCAATTCAAACAACCAAAATAACCATCCTCCTGCGTATGACTCTCGCTTCAGCCCTTTTCCAACATTTGCTTCTGCCTGCTCACCAGTCTCCTTTTCTACATCTCCTGCTTGTGTTGGCACTTCCAGTTCTCCCGCTGTTCAGGTGCCTCTCAGCACACCTGAGAGTCCTTCGGGTTCCAGCTTCACTTTTGCTCCTTGCTCATCTGCTAACGTTGCCATTCCTATGCCTTTTGTTCCAAACTCTTGTTTTCCTCCTTTTTCTCAGGTTCCAGCAAACACAATTTCTTCAACTACCGTTGCAAGTTCTACCAGGTTTTCATTTCCTTTAACGGCTTGTTCTCCAACATTTTCTCAGCCATCTGTTAACTCCTCTTTTAACCCCATTTTGTGTTCTGCTCGACCTCCTTTGTCTTCCAGGATTGTCAGTTCTGATCAGCCAGTTCATTTGGCATCCTTGGTAACTACAACCTCTGCCTCTTTGCCATGTAACACAAGTACTTCTTGGACGTGCTTTCATCCATCCCTGTCACAAGATCACTTTAGTGGAGGGGTCACATTCTCCACCAGTTCACCATCAGACATTCATTCACCTCTTCCTTGTGTTTCTACTGGTATTTCCTCTACTTTTACTACTGTGTCCTTGCCTTCTTCCTGTATTTCCTCAAATCAGCTCTCGCCAATTGGCAGTGGAGGATTAGGTCAACTCCATTCTGCCCCAGATGTCCCCAGTGCTGGTTCGTTCCAGAATGTCATCCAGATGATGCCTTCTTCAAATGTTCATGTGCCTTCGTCATCCCCCTCCAGTTCCTCTCCTACTCAACAGGTCATCTGTTCACGTGCATCAACAAGAACTCCTATTGCTTCTCCACGCAGTGCAATGAGTTCCTTTGCCTCTACTCCTTCCTCTTTTCTTCCTTCTGTTTTACCAATCCACGCAAACTCATCCCCTTCTGATAGATCTGCACGTTCCTATCCCACTGTTTCTGTCAGTCGTTTTCCTTCAACCCCAACTTCTTCTGTCCCTTCTGTTTTTAGTGTGCCAAATGTGTTTGGCCTATCATGCGTACCATCTGCCTGGCGTTGAAGTTCCTAGAGTGGGTATTTAGCACATCCTTGTGGACTTTTGAATAAATATGTTTCACTATGAATATTTTCTTGGTACGTTCAAATCCAGTTAAAATCGGTCAGTATTAATGCATTAGGTTTTCAAAATGTGTTAATTTATTAAAATATTATTCAGACAATATTTCACTGGATGCACTTGTTAAAATCTTCTGTGTCTTCATTACCTCATAGGCTTCAATTTTCTGATAGCTTTACTGAATGTCTATCTTGTGCATCCTTGTGTTGAATTCACTGACTTCTACTTTTATCTCAGTGTTTGTAGTCTGTTTGCGAAGAGGTGGTGTTCCTAGTTCTCCTTAATGGAAGTTGAAGAAAGACACTACTGTTGTCTCATGGGCATTAAATCTAATTGTAAGAAATGTGTTATGAAAGATTTGTTTTTTACTACATAGTGAGCCATTCATGTGGTGAGTGAGGCCAGTGTAAAAGAGATACTTGAGCATTTTCATTCTGTTGCATAATTTTCATATCTCATCCATTACCTTCTGTAATATATTAGCATACGTTTCAAGAAAATAATTTTAGAACTGAGCAAGAAAATTTAAATGTGATTTTAAATTTAAATATATCATTTTATTTTAACAATTTTTTATATGGTTCCCTATAGACATTGGATGGCTTGTGTACATTTTTAAAGATATGTGAAACTGGTTACTTTTATAAGACTGTGCTATGCATGTTTTGGATTTTTTAAATTGTTAGATCAAGATTTTATGATAATAAACAGAATTTGGAAGATTTTATTTTTCTCAATTACCTTGTTTTTCTTAAAAATTTGACTTAAGAAGGTTTACAGGTCTACTCAGTGTATGTGATTGTGAAAAATTTACATTGTCAAGTACGAACAGAAAAGAACTGTGGTTTCTGAATTGAAGATTGTCGTAATGCATTTGTTATACAGTAAAATGTCATAAATAGAATGTGTAGTACCAGCCCGTAACCTATCTCAACCAGCAAATTACTCGGTCCTCTGAAGTTAAATGGCAAGCATTTTACACAGCATAAAATGAAATCTCTCCGATGCGGAAACAGAATGGTTTTTCATGACCTGAATGGAAAAAATCTGTATAAAACTGAATTCATGTGAATTTAATGCAATTGGGAGAGAGACGCGATATGTTCTTAATGATATGAAGGCACTCTAGTTTGTTCTCAATTTTCTATCCCTATGATCACATTTAGTCATGTCAGCTGAACATTGAGGGAGAGAGGTTTCAGCTGTCAGCTTAGAATTCGACCTTGGGGGTCGCTTGTCTCTGCTGGGAAATTCCCTCTTCCAGTTCTCTGAGCGTTGGAAGATGTATGGACACGGCTTCTATTCTATTCGGGTGTCTCTGTGCTCTGCGATGAAAATCATTACTCCTCGACCAGATACACATTGCTCAAGGTCATGCGAAGGTATCAGAAAGTCATAGTACTAGGTTGTGACGCATTGTGCATTGAGGGTGGTGTTAAGCAGTCTGAATACAGCCAGTAACGTATGTCATTTTGCAACTCAGGAGCTGTCAATGAAGAGTGATAAATAATAATTTATTGGTGATTTCTTTAATAAAATCATATTATATTAATAAATTTTGATAATTATTGTAAAGTAATGTAATTTACTACTTTCTGGGCAGAAAAGTTATTATCACAAGTGTCATAAAATGGACAACCTTGCATAAAACAGAAACCTCCCTAAACCAGAATTTTTTTGTCTTGATAGATTCCGGCTTAGATTGGTTTTACTGTGCTTTAAGAAATTCACAAATTGGTAACTATCAACAATTAAGAATGTTCTGTCAATAATTTTACTCAATCATAGTATTTAGCTGGGAAAGTGTTGACTTAAAATAATGAATATTTGGATATTAAAAAAAGGGAGGGGGGAAAACATTTGGGCTATAGGTTGACGTGATGTGAGAAGGGGCAAGGTGTGGTAGTTTTGCGTGGTCATTACGAGACATGACTGGTGTCCTAAAGCGACACGTGCTATTCTCAATTTGCCAAAAATATGGCCAAAACAAAGATTTGTCTTGATTTACTTGAAAATGAGTATGCAATGGCTCCAGATGTTGCCAATTAAGATTATGAAACTACTTTTGTTAAAACAGTTTCTGTGAACTCATTTTTTTAAATTGCAAGAAATTTGAAATTTGAAATTTAAATTTTCCATGCTTTATTAACTATCTGCCAGTTCACAAAATTGCATTGGAGTGACATAGTGGTTTTAAATTCTTAGAATTCTTCTCGTTGTTTGTAGTTGATGTGAATGAAATGATAAGGTGACTTTTCTATTGAACCTTAATATTACAAGGTCTCTATGTCCAATGAAATGATCCATTCAACTATATTGTAGTCTGGAAGAATACAGTATGCACAGAAGAAGAAGTTGTAAAACAAGTTATGGTTTTTTAAGATGGACATGTGATGATATAGATGATGATCTTATAAAATGAAATAGATTTAACTTGGAACTCTTCTTTTACTCTAAAAAGTTGTGATCACTGTAGATGGTAGGTCTTCAAAAATTTGAAGCACACTAAGATGTAATGAAGGTTACCTTGATTCTGTATAATAGGCTGTGAATGCTGAAACAGTGTTTCATGTTTTATTCATGTTTCTGCCATTTGTAGAAATAAGAAATTACTACTGTTCCCGACCATTGAAATAAATGCAGATATGCTCCATACTTTGTTTGAATTACTTTGGACTTTTCTAGATGTAGCTGAAGTGTTAGTTGGGCAGAAATTGTGATATAATAATATTACATAACCCTTTTTAATAATGCAAGAAAACGTGTGGTGTTCTAGCACAGATTTCTTTTGACAGCCTATTTTTTTAATTAAAAAAATATGCAAAAATCTATGACATCTATTTAAAGCTTTTTTCTTTAAATGTTTTGAGCCATTGATGTGCTCTTCTCCAGGTATCTGAAATCTTAAAACATTTAAATATAACTTGCTGAAGATCAAACCCACCAACGAAATGAATGCTGTATTCAAGCCAAACCTCACTCCAGCTCAAA